GATCCAGTCAAGTCCCGTGCAGATCCGATGTCGTGTCCAGTTGTCACATCTGCCCCAGAGCTTGTGAACCACATCCGTGCAGTGGTCGAGCCCCTTTTTGAAGACATCATCCTCGACTCAGGTGCGGACATCAGTGCTCTTCCTGATTCTTATGCGTCCGGTGGAGAAGCCACAGAGTCTCCTGCCCAGAAGTTCGTCGATGCATCTGGTAGGCTGCTGAAGTCCAAAGGCGTTCGCATCGCCGAAGTGCAGATTGGTGCCTTAAGGTTCAAGGGTCACTTGCCCATTGCTTTCGCTTGGGAAGCTTTACAAAGCTGGGTTCTATGTGGTTCCCTCTGCAAGCAGCCCTGGCGGCTTCATCTTGACCAACGGCGGTTTGCAAGAGCCAGTCAAGTTGAAAAGACAGTCCTTGTGTGCATCGGGAAATGTGTGTGTGCTTCATGAGCAGCCGGCGGCCGTGCGTGTCATTGAACGTGTGACGCTTCAGGATCCCTTGCTTAGGCTGGATGCCTCAGGTTGGCAGCGCACAGGTCACAGGCAGTATGCGCTGCTGAGCTTCGGCGATGCCTTCGTCGACACCACGTTGATTCCTTTGTCCGAGCTCATGTGGTTCCGAACCACTTTGGTTCGCCGAGGCGGGGAATAGTTCCTGCTGGAGTTTGCTGAGGATGTTTCGTCTATGTCAATCGCGCCAAGAAGTTTGATCACCAAGACGTGGAACAAGTGATCACAATTGCACATGATGATAGGACTTTGAGTCCTGCCCAGCTTGGCTTTGCAACTCCTGTTGATGAGCCTTCTCCTGCACCCGAAGCCTCCGGTGTTTCGCCCGCTCAGGCCTCCCCTGTGCCCGTGGGTGAGTCGTCTGGTGCTCCGCCTCCTGAGGCAGATGATGGCAGTGGCATTGGTGATGATCCGTTGCAGCCCTCCAACCAAGCAGCACCAGTCGCCCCTGAAGGTGGCGAGGCTCCTCCTGCTGAGCGTGAGGCCATTGAGACTGTTACAGTTAGCGGTGTTGTCATCGATCGCAACTCTTCATTGCGGGTCAACCGTGCTGCGCTTGTTTCCCTTGGGCTTGGCAAGAATGGCTCCAAAAGCCAGTGCTGGGACAGATTGGTTCGGCACATCCGTGAAGCCGAGCTGCTCCGGGAACATCAAGTCGATCACACCCTCCGTGCCGAGACAAGCCGTCCTCCTTTGGCGCCTCCCATTGCGCAGGTGCCTTCCGATGCAGACCGGGCCCAGCATGCTTTGACGCATGAGCCATATGCTCCATGGTGCGACACATGTGTTCGTTTCCGGGGTCGCCAGGACCAGCATGCTACAGAGGCCTCGCATGGTGATGGATCCCGATCCGTCCTGTCTTTCGACTTTGGCTACTGCTCTCGCGAAGCCCCCGATGATGGTAAAGAAGCCCGTGACCGACTCACGGTGTTGTTTCTTCATGACAGGCGTACGAAAGCGGTTCATGCCATACCTACTTTGCAGAAAGCAGGGAGCTCCTTGACCCATCTTGTGACTGAAGCAGCAAGGTTTGCAGTTTGGACCGGGCATCGCTCTTTGGGCTTTAGGTGTGACAACGAGCCCGCCATTCTGGCCTTTCAGACCGGACTGTTGAAGGCTTTGCGAAATTTAGGCCTGGATGTGTCTCGTGACAATTCTCCGATTGAATCACATCAATCCAATGGTCCTGTCGAGCAAGTGGTGTGCAGTGTGCGCCAGCATGC